TCTCTTTCTTTGTTTGCACCATGACTGACAGGTTGACTGGATACACCTACACCTCCTTATATGGTGGTCATTGGCTATTCATGGGCGGGGATTTATGCTAATTGCTGATTACCGGGAGCGCGCTGTCACTTTACGATGGATTGGCATTCATGATCATACACACGTGTTTGCGATCAAATTGGAGTAGGTTTTTAGTAGCGTAGGCTTTAATGTGCAAATCTACACACAGATTTACTCACTTTTCATGAATGAGACCCATTGTATGTAATGATACACATCAGTGACTGAGCTGTCTTAGTATGCTTTATGGTAATAAGTTGGGATTATATATATGTACAAATGACCTGGTTTATCCATGAGCTGGCATCTAGAACTGCGTATGATGTCTCTCTTCTCCACTCTCCACCTCCTCTCTTTCCTCTTGTTTTAGGTCTGTCTCAAAACTGGGCCTACAGCCAACAATCAATAGCAAACACACACACACACGGACCCTCTAGCTCTTTCTATTTCCCGTGTTAGCAGCATGTTGAGCAGAGGCAGCAGAGTACTGCTGGGAAACCAACCATGCTCCCAGCAGCAGGAACCATCGCACTCCACATTCTCACCACTATTCATCATAGTTCTCTGTTCCCTTTCAAAGGTTGAGCTTTCCATTTATAATGACTGATTTACATAAGCCTCAACAAGATGCTGTTATACAATCACAAATAGACAGGGAGGAATAAAGTACGCTGATGCACATCAACATACTTCATTCAGCTGAGGGATATGGTCTCTTTACATAAGGATATTTACGGTATTCTGCTTATAGGCTTACAGCACAGGTATTACTAATAACATTAATGAAGGTGTGCTAGTGACTCATTTCAATGAGTCACTCTAAACAACGTCGGCACCCTGGAGCTGTCTCACTCAAATGGAATGCGGCCATTATTGATGTTATTAGTTACACTTGTTTTCTGCTTTGACAAGTCCAAACGTCTGCTGTGAAACAGGTCGATTCTCATTTCTGTCACACAGTATCGGTGTGTATCGGGCTAAATAACAGAAATGTCAGTTCAGAACGATCAAAGATATGTTTGAGGTCATTTAGAGATAGTTGTCCTTTTTACACAGAGATTGCAGTATAGAGCTGCTACTAAGTCCACAGTCCTTAGTAGATTTTAGTAGAAACTCTGAATCAGAAATTTGATTTAATCATGAATACTTCAAGAAAAAAAGGGCCTGCCTATAACATGCATGACAGCAGCACTTTATAAACATTAACAGTGGCATAACATGGCAATAACAATCATTTACCATGCCTGTTATACGGCGGCTGATCCCATCCTCTGCTCGGAGGTTAAGGAGTCCTCGACCTCATTGTTGTCCCCATTTGCAGACATTCATGGCTGCTTTGAGTCAGCCGCTAACTGCTACAGCTTCTTTTTAAATCTCCCGCGGTGGGTCACACGCATAACTTGTGCTCAAAACATCACAACTGTCCTGCCCATGGTCCTGCCCTGCTGGCTGTCCTGTTTATACAGACCTCATTTCTGTGGTATTACTACCTCCGGTGGCAGCAACGGGAACACAAAAGGACACAACTCTGTCCCCTGTTCCGTGATCGTACCTTATATACATTGTTCGTCTACCATACAGCGCTGACAAACTGAATTCCATCTCTATCAAACAAAAAAACAATCAAAAGAAAAACTGTCGAGCTGTCTGTTACGTTATTATAACAATCACATTATGCTAAATTGATGGCTTCAACAACAGGGTTGAACATGTCCCCAGAACAACAGTAAAGTTTACCATTGCACTACGGTCTTTTAGCAAAGGACAGCCCAACATGTCTGAAGACTTTGAAACTGAGGAGGAACAGCATTTCTTTGTTGAGCCGTATTTGTTTGACGCGGAACTCAGGCTACTGGACGAAGCAGCCGCCGCAGCTCATGAGCCTAACCCTCAGCCAGCCGCAGAATACCGGAGTCAAGCACTGGAAACCTGGTGGTGTAGTTGATTCAAATGCAAAGCAATGCCAATGGATGAGGAAAGTATTTGCTGCTCATACTGGGAATTGGCGATGCCTGCACTTGAGAATCTGGACATCAGTACGGACAAGACTGCTGCTCTTCAGAGACCGTGCATCACCGCTCACCCTGAGCGCGCACACGTGAGTGTGGAGCACAGAGAAGCAGTCTGAGCTACAGGCTACAGTGAGGCTAAAAACAGAGTTCACATGACGTTTTTCGAAACAACTTTTTATGTCGGGGCTTCAGGACACTTGGATCACTACAGATGAGCATGTTGGACATATTTTGTGGCTTCAATTTTGTGTTCTTGGACGTTAGTCTGGGGCGCTGTCAGCCATTAGGTGTGCTAGCCGCTCCCCCCGCCGATCTCCGCAAGGGACGTGAGGACTGAGCCTTCCTCAGCATGAGGGTGAGTAGATAATGGCTGAATTTTCATTTTTGGGTGCACTATCCCTTTAATATGGCATTATGTTTTACTCAGTAGATTTCTGATTTAACAAATCAGCAGTTATAAAAATTTGTAAACTGCACTGTTAAGGCAGACAAACAGAGCATTAGCTGGCAAATGGCATGTTTATTCACTTTAAATGGAGCTAAATTATTATTTTAAATGTTTGCCGAATGTGTAAGCATCTGTTAATTAGCTGAAAGAAATCATAAATAATCTTTTAAATGGAGTTGATATTTACCTTAAGTTAGCTCGGGCTCTGTTAAAGCTAATCACTAATGCCATTGGTTTAAAAGGCAAACAACCAATGCTTTGTAATGGCTGTCAGATATGACAGAGGTATGATCACGTTAAAACATCTCAGGTCCAACAGGTAGTGTACTCCACATGTTTTATTTCCAAATCGCTCTGGGAAAGAGGATAAGTGTACTGTTGGGTACCATTACCTTTGGAAAACACTGGGTTCAGCGTCGGAAGTCAGCCCATAATTCACGCAAGGTATCACGGGGGCTAGGAATAAGGTGGATACTAGCTATTGCATGACACTGAACCAGGGAATTCGTGTGTAAATCACGACAAAGGTAATTAATAAATTGTAACTGATATCCATTGGTATTACTTCAGTGGCGCTGGCACACAATTTCAGCACATTTTGTGCCACCACCACGTAATGTTCAGAGATTGTGGCCATTTCAAACATTACTTTGAGACCAGACTGTAGGCTTCCCAACTACTCTGAAAAAGACTGAGATAAAGACAGACAGTTGGAGGATAAGAGAGAGGGGCACAAATGTAAGAGGGAGCTTTGGAAAGAAAAATCAATACTTAGTGTCTTTTAAGTTTTCTATTCCAACACTCATTCCAAAATCACAGTCACTGTGAAGAACAACCTGATGACTTGTGACTTGACCAGTGTGCATCTCACCTTTGTCACAATCTCTGCACAGCTCTGCCATACTCTCTGGGTTCATCCCAATACCAGATTTCACATCCATGTTTCCCTCACTTACGTCTCTTCCTCGCATCTTAGCTCCGCCCTCATAGGACATGAGGGAGAAATGCAAGGATGAAATGCAAGGAGAGAAGAAATGAAGAAACATATCTTTAGAGAAATGAGACGTCCTTTCCTCTAAAGCGTCATATGAAGCGACGTCCGTTTGTAATGACGGCAGCAGCTGATTACAGCTGGATCAGCTGTCAGGAGGCTTTATTAACAGTTATAGAAACTTTTAATGGAGTTTGTGTCTACACATACATAATGTTACATAAGCATATATAATGATAAAGATACAGAAACAGTTCTCAGTAACAGAGCGGCAATGTTTTCTCTCCGTCTAACAATCACCTACACATGAACAGCAGCCTGTGTTCTGTATTCATAATTTGTACTGTGTCCTGCTCAGAGTCACACAATGTGTTTATATGATTTATTCATTATTTGCCTCTGTATTTATTGATATTCTGATTGTGAGTTCATTATTCAATAACCCAGAGTATGATCACAATGTCTTTGAACACTGGAAATAATTTATTAGGTCAAATGTTTCAGGGAAAATTAAAATTCTATAACTCATCAACCTGACGCTCAGGAATGATCAGCCTCAGTGTGACTGACGTAGAAGTGTTTCTTGGTGACAGACGGACTCTCTGACTTTGATTGTATCCATAATTAAAGTTGATGAGGGAAATAACAGATCGCGGAGCAAAATCTTCCCAATAAATGAAAAAAAAGTTTGTTTCCTTTTCTTGTTCAGATTTGTAACTTGGTGGTGAATCAGAGAGCAAATAAAACATAAAATGTGGCAGTGATACACTGAGTTTAATCTCTCATCTGTCTGCACTCTGGATTTACGGGTCAAGTGATCGAGGATGGAGGATGGAGGAGTCGAGGTAGGATATTGGGATGGATGCAGTAAGTAAGTATGTAAGTAAGTAAGTAAGTAATAAAGTAAGTAAGTAAGTCACTGACTGACTGACTCACTCACAACTTCTCCAGCAACACTAAGACAGACACAGAGCTGCTTCTCTGTTTAATCTGTCTGTTCATTAGTCTACAGTGTGACATCGGTCTATATGTTGCATGCGCTATGTTAAATCAGTCTGTGAGATGAATGAAATGACCGCAGTAGCACATGTGCATTGCATGTGTGGGAGACGGAGCTGCTTGATTGTGTCAGGTGAGCGTTTGTTTGCTAGTTTGTGTGTGAGGTGGATCATAGCGTATCGCTGTTCTTCTTGGTAGTTGTGGTCTACTGTGTGACACTGACACAGTGCCTGGATGCAGGTGACAGATGGGTTTAAAAAAATGCAGCGACAACATAGACATTTCATATACAAGACCTATATAACACAGACTAAGTGTCTCTCTCGCTCCCTCCCTCGGCCTTTCTCCCAAGGACTTATTGTCTGAGGCACTGTTGTGCTTACAAAGCTAAAACTTGAAAGAAAAAAACCCTGTCTTTTCTTCAGTCAGTAGTGGTTTATACACAGAAACAAGGAGAGCATGTACAAATATGTCAGAAACAAAGTTGTACCAGTTTGGAGCTGTCCTGTTGGCGAGCACAATGGTCCTGATGGAGCCTGCTTGCTACTTCTATGTTCCCTGCTTTTGTTATTGGCTGTTGGAACTAGGCGCCTCCCCTTTCTCCTCCAGGTGCTGCAGGTTATCAGCAGGTGCTACAGCTGTCAATGAAACAAAGGACACAACATTAAGAACCAATCATCAAAAGTCTGTCAGAGTCTCTCATGATAAAGTCAAATTACTGACAGTGTTCTACAACAGAGTGCTGCCTTGACTCAAGATATGGAAGTGTCCCTAACGGTTAAGTCATTCAATAAGTCAGTTATTAAACTATAACATAAGATGAACCAGGAGGAGTGAACAGAAGGCAGAGCAGAGTGAAGGCCATTTAAATACATGACAGCAGGACAGACAGAGTTAGATAAAGTCACCACATTGTTCGTCACAGATATAAGTGTCTCAGAGTAGGAAACCAGTCCTCACAGTCCTAACATTTCCCAGAGTGACACAAATTCAGTCCTAGGGCTGGGTATCACCACTGATTTCCTGAATCAATTTGATTTCGATTCACAAGGTCCCGATTTGATTGAATTCGATCCAATATGGATTCAATTGGGGATATTTCAGTTACAATACCAATTTTTGAGTGTATGTGAAAGAGATTCTCAGAGAACTAACACTGTAAATTTTACAAGGAATTATTTTTTGAAAAAGAATACATTTACAATAGGAATTAAACTTAAAATATTTTATGACTAAATGTTGTTTCTAGAGCAGCAACAGTAATACTAAAACAGCAAAGTCACAATATAAACCATGACCTCAGTGTCTCTGTCTGTGCGTTCCAATCCCCACACTACCATACTATGTAGTACGCCTGAAAAAGATACAGTACATCCCAATACATAGTATGTCAAATGCAGTATGCCAAAAATACCAGGATGTTCCACTACATCTGGTCCTATTTTGCAGTATGCAAGCCAGCATGCTTTTCTGGCTATTCTGACCCACAATCATCTGCACAGCAGAAGATTAGTCACATCAACTGAGCCATAAACAGATGACAACTCATAGACAGCTTGTTGACAGCAGACTGACAGCTCTCAGAAGCTGCGATGACAGCTAACAGCAAATTCAAGCAAGTGATGACCTGTCAAATAGTAATAATAGGAATGTAAACTGTTTAAATGAACAAAATAATCATAAAGATTATAAACAACAAAAGGACATAACTCTAAAAATAACAATGACAGAGAACTGCAGATGTAATTTCACTGTGGTGAATACATCAGAATCGAGCTTGTATGCAGTTAGAACTTCAAGGTTAAATCTACATACATTGCAAAGTAACAACAGCAGATCTCTCCATCACTGGCGAGCTTGGTGAACACAGTTTTGTTATATCTCCAAGGTAAACAATATTATGTGCAAGAGGGAAAGAAAAAGTATGAGATTCGGAACGCACCCTGTGTGTCTGTGTGTCGTGCACATCCAGACCAAAGATCACGTCCCCATAACCACTTTTATGTGTCATCAATGTCCGGAGCAATAATATTACACTGATATTTGAAACAGGGCATTGAATGAGTATGTATATTATTTAATGATGCAATGAACAATCTGATTTGTGATGGGATTCAACTGTTTAAAGGTACAGTATATTATTGTGGACAGAGTAATACATCCCAGCAAATATCAGTCACACACTTTTTTTACACAATAAAAATCTTTAAAGACGCCTGTTGCTAAATCATGGCAAAGAGCAGCCTTGACAACACCAGACAGTGATGCTGCAAGGTCCTTTTTCATGTCCTTGCAAAATCAGTGGTACTGAAACCTTGGTGATACTGTGACTACTTGCAAACAAAAAATACTGAGTGCATACTCACTGAATCACAGTTTGATTGGTACCAGTCTTGGATGAGGTTTCATTGCTAAAAGTGGCAGTAATTTTTTTTTCATATTCCCAAATTAACACAAATAACTTAAATATTAGGACTCATCTATGTGTGAAAGTACTCACTACCAACCCAGTCACCAGAAGAAAAAAATGCTGCCATTGTACATTTCTGCAAACCACGGATATGTTTTATTTGCACATTATTATGTATCAGATAAATTGAAACTTCCTGTTTCAACAATGCTGTGGTTAATGTGTCGTTAGGTTAAGGCACAAAAACCACTTGGATATGGTTAGGACTGGTCACGTTTTGACTTAAAATTCCTGGTTTCAATCCTTGCTGATAAGCAGCAATGTCTGTGTAAAACTACTGCTTTTCATGGCACTATCCATGCTGGAAAAAGAGCAACAGGTCACTACACAACATGTTTGGTGCCTAAAAAGCTGCTGGAAACACAGCAGTGACTCCCTAAATAACAACCAGTTTTGTTGTTTGTTGGTCTCTATCAGTTGTCTACAGCTTTGCAGGCATCTCACCATCCCCTCCACCTCCTGATGACAAAGTTAGCTCATATATTACATTACTTCAGAAATGTTGATAAGATGTGTATGAAACATTGCATCACGTATTTGTGAACTGCAGAAACATATAATACCAATATTTTCTTGTGGTGACGGGGCTGCAACAACAGTTAGTGTCAAACCCTCTGCCCCCTTCAACTTATCCTCCAGTCAGTCCCTTGGTTTTACACATTTCTAGTTCACCTCTTCTTGATACTTAGTGTCTAGTTTTCCTTCCAATCTATTCATTCCATTCATCAGATCCACTTCTTTAACTAGCTGACATCATCACTTGGCCCTGCACTGATTGCTTCTACAGTAATGACTCACTGTAGTGCCTGTATATGCAGGAGCTCAGTGGTCCAGATGGTCACTCAGTGGGAGCTGGAGTCCCACCAAATGACCTGCTAGCTGTACTACTGCTACACAGCAGAAACAGCTTCTGCTACTGTACATTCATGAAGTAGAAAAAAAAAACCACACACACACACCTGAAAGTCAGCGACACTCTGCACTTCAAATTCTCTTTGGTAGATTTGTTCATGAATCTGTTGATTATGCAGTCGATTGCACACCACCTCTTAATCATTTCCCCTGTCAACACTTAATGGTTTGCCACAGTGACAGGAGTGACCATAGTGACTTCTAGTGACATCACTCACATACCCTCTTCAGTGTGGAATTATACAAAAAGTGAGGGAAGACAAAAGGTAAAGTGTTAATTGCATAAATTGGATTACATCTTGAGTATTACTATTACAATACTTATGTGGCTTTGGTCATCATCTCCAGCAGTTATGACAACAACCAACTTGCCAAGTTAATGGCTGAGATCTGTAACACCTGACTTCACTGCAATGACGTTAGAGATCATACAATCAGATATGTTGAAACCAACAGTTTACCCAGATCATCGAAACCACTTTATCAGAATGGCTGAATCAGTAACTGTGATAGATGTTTACTAGGGCTGTCTAACGATTACATTTTTTAATAGCAATTAATCACTGAATTTCAATAGTTAATCATGATTAATCACATTTTTACTCACATTTAAAATTCCCATATTTTGCATTTCAGAACGGTTTTCAGGTCCATATAAACAAGGTGAAGCCCTTCTTACCAGCGTGCCTTGATTGGGAATCAAATAAATGCAAAAAAATGTAGTTATGATCTTGATTTTTAGACTTATTTCTTTCAAATCAGCCCTGCATAGCTACAACAGTGTGGGATTTTTTTGTTGTTGATCCCCAGTTAAATCGACAGCATTTGCACTTTCCAAGAGTTCAGTTTTATTGCTTTGTCTGATTGATACAGGTCCTGTATGCATGAAACTATTATTAATCATGACGGTAAGGTGTATGACTACTCATAACATGTCAAACTGAGGACATCCCCTTAATACATAATGTACTTGGGTGGTGGTGTCTGTGTTGCCATGCAGTTACACCTCCAAACGCCAGTTGGTGGTGGAGTTTCTATTAAGTGCTGTAAAGTTTGACTGATTCTAATCACACCAGAAACACACATTAAACATGGCTTAATAGTGACAATATCAAACACGAGTTCACAAATCGGCTTCATCATAACTTACAAGATTCACAGATCTTTTGCTGGACACATTTTCCACACTAATACAACAAGCTAACATTATTAGCACAAGCCTATGGAATTTTACATTGTATAAATTAGCCTAGTGGCTAGCGAGAGTTTTTCTTATATTATTCTTGTAGCGATGCCCACATTTCCCATCACGTCTTGTGTTGGACTGAGTAGCTGCCGTTAAGTTTGCTGTTTTGTGTTCCAAAGCTGATAGAAATAATGTTCAAACCTACAAAATACACCCATGTTGTAGTAAACTGGAATTATCCTTTAAGTAAACCTGATTCAACACAAAAGTCAGTGATATGGAGAGTCAGCTGGTTGATCAAAATATGTGCCATGGCACAAGACGCAGTGAGAATTAGAGCTGTACCTAAACTAGACTTTTTTTAGTCCACTCTGAGTTTCCAATTTTTATAAATAAACATACTGATGTTTTGTTTTACATTAAATTTGCCTCTGTTTGCAAGGTTTAAATATATAATTTACTGAATTAATACACCTCAGCGCACTTCTCTTGGCTGGCTGCTGACAGATCTGTTAGCAAGAAAGTCACTTACAATGGATGGTGGGAGAGATGATGTTGTACCAGAGTCTGGTTTAAAGGAGTTAAGCCAAGTTTGCTGCATTCTGCATTGGAGCAGAGAGTGCTGAAGCACCCAAAAGAAACGAGTCACATTTCTTTTGTTAAGTCATGATACAATATTACCGCAATTTTAAATATGTTGCGATATGCTGAGTTTTGCGATAAAATATATTACAATATATTGCAATTTATTACCTATTTTCAATTGTAGATTATGTCTCCAAAGGGAAACTTAAACTGATTATATTATTCTGGTAGGCTACCTACAGTTTAATTTGTGTGTACATTCGAGTGTTCATTCACAGGACAGATTTCTGTCACCTTTGCAGAGTTATGGTTTTTACCATGGTATTTGGTCCATTTCACTCCGATGACCAAAAGTCTGAAGTGAAAGGGTTTCACACATCTATCAGTGGGCCTAAATAAAAGCTTTTGTGCTCTACACTAATTCTGTTGGTTACATTTGCTACCATTTGATCTTGAAGGAGTTGCAGCCTGATTTCCAGATGTTC